TTTTTTTCGCTTTTCTGTCCTTTTGTCCTTTTGTCTTTTTTTCTTTTTTCTTTTTTCTTTTTTCCCTGGCTTGCATTACACACCGTTGCCACCAAGTGCTGGTCAAGCGCCGAGGCCACGAGTTGACTGATCGGCATCTATTCCCCGGTCTCCTGCTTTCGCGGTCCCCAAAGGATACTGTGTTTCTGCGGTGTTCGAATGAGCAGTAGACAAGGGTCTTTGGTTTGATGCTTGGGCGAAAGTGAATGCCAGATATCGTTATATGAATTGGTCGTATTTAAAGAAGAATGGATATCCACGTTCATCGAGACATAAGATTGCTTTTCATTGCCAAATTTCACTGCTCATAGACCTCATTAGTGATAAAATGAGTTTTTTTACTGGATTTTGTTGGAGCTGTACTCCAGCAGTAAATACAGTTGTTGTTTCCAGTCTCGGTCTCGTCTTCTTTGCTCTGAGCCTGGTTATTCTATGCTGGTGGAAACGAGGGCCCAGTCATAACTACGACTTGACGGTTCCCCAAGTGAGAAGTTCCAGTATACTTCGACGGCATTTTCTAATCTCTCTAGGGAAACATGGTTAACCTCCCTACTTGGAAAAGATCCTATGGCCTGGATGTACAGCAGCCCTATAGGCGCGAATCGTATGTGTTCGAAGGTAAGTAAGCTCGTTTCCAACCCATCAGGCCTACATCTAAGATTCATGCGGGTTTAGATGTGTGAATGGAAAATTTCAACCCAAGAGACACAGACATGGTCCAGTGGTAGTGGCATTGACGACATGTGAAAAATGGTTCATTAGCGTGATAGGGTATAACTAGGATCTTCATAGGAAGCCATCTATATTCAATGGTTCTTAAGTCATAACACAATTATCTGTAGTCTAGTCAAAGTAAAAACCTTGGAACTTTGATATGCTGCTGGATTCCGCTATCATACTACAAGTTCAACATATCACAAAGAGAGAAGACTAGCAAATTTCCCAGTTCTGTAAGCACCGAGTGCATCGCACCTCGTCAAGTCTACATATGTTATTGATATAGACCGTTACGTACTTTGGCCAGACCATTCTGTACTTCTCACCGGATGTCGCTTCATCTTCCCCGAGCGATCCCGAATTTCAACGTGCCGAAAACAGTTCCTGACCGCTGTAGCCGCAGCCGGGGGTGGACCAGAAAAATAATATTAAAAAAAAGAAGAACGGAACGGAACGGAACAGATGGTGACAGGTCTATTCGGGTCCCAGGAACCGGAACGGTAGTCATGTTCGTCAAATCATGCTTGGATATACAATCTACCTGATTTCTAAAGAACCTCTGTGCATCAACCGGAAGCAGGTTTTGTTCCGCCGAGTTGGGCTTAATAGTCTAGATGCATAGCCTCAAACGCATTTGCCTTTTTTTTACCTTTGTAGTTCAGATTTGCGCTGTGTGATTGGAGTGTGATAGATCAGATTATCCATGTTCGCACCCCTTTACTTATTTCTTGCCCTAAATTATATTCTATTTTACAATATTATTCTTTTTTTCTTTTTTTCCCCTTCCTCTTCCATCATCATAAACAGTAGAATTGTACTATAACTGGGGATCAAGCCTTTCTTTCCCCTGCATATATCGCGTCTCAAGGCTACGTATGGCCTTTCAAAAGACGACCGTGAAGACAATATCTATGTCAACCGACGTATTCTATAATACACTTTCTTACTACCTATTGCCTTTTAGGTGATATATAGCTTTCCTATGGGGTCTCAAAATTCTCACTTGTCCTCTTATAAACCCAAGTAGTTCGTCCTACTCCATGTCTGACTCTAGAGCTTGTCTTTCCCTTTGACTCTGTGGGATGAATTGCTCACATTTACAACAAAGTGAAAGAAAAAAAAATAAACATTTTATTGATTAAAGGTTCAAGCATTTGATATTAACCATAACAAAGCCCGTTAAACGATCATTGACCTTTCACTTTTGAATATTGCAACAACTGAAATAGGAACACCATTCAGCTAGGAAAAGAAAAGGATCTCAAAGCTCAACCAGGCCATAAAAGAGATGAAAACAACATCGAAGTAGAGATCATAAATTATTAGCCCTGGCTGAGGCCAGTAGAAGAAACGATCCACGAAGCTCGGCCTCTGGGACTTGGATGCGTTTAGCGGCGAGATAGGTTAGGAGGGAACGAACTATCAGTCTTTGCTCTGGGCTGGGGAATTGTCGCAGGGTCAGGCATGGAGAACACTGGGTTCGGAGCTTGCTGGGAAGCTGGGCCGCTGGATTCACTCATGAAGCTCGGAAGACGGTTTGCAACATTCAATGAGGGCCGATTCTCAGTGCTAGCATTCTGGGCGGAAACGGTACGAATATGGGCTGTTGACACATCGCACAATGTGGTGGGCTCATAGGCTGAAGGTGCAGGACCGATAACGCGGGGTTTGTATGGCGCAGGGCCGATTGTACGAGCGCCGGCCGACTGAACATCCGGTCGTTTGGGAATGTTCGGATGGCTTGCGCTCAGCCCCCGAGTCGCGGTCTGAGGTCGCACCACATTAGGTTCAATAACGTTAGCATTGCAAGTGACAGGGCCTACAGGTCCTGCAAAGATTGAATCATTAAGAGTCTGTGGCTTTTTCGTCGCGTCCTTTGCAAGAGCAGGAGCAGCATGAACGGACGCATCGGATGTAGTGACCCTCTTTGGAATATCTAGCGGACGAAGAGCTGGAGCAGGGACCGCACGCTGCGGTTGGAGGGGCGCGGCGAGTTTGTCCGAGACCTGAAGGGATTCGAACTGCGAAATAATGTCGGAACTCTCACTCCTGGTTGGTGACAGGCCGGGCACACATACCTTGTGCGCGCGTTTATCAGCAGACGGAGGTGAGTTCGAACTAGACGAAGGTGGAGGCGGCGATCGGTGCCCCTCAAATGGGGTAAGGTCGCGCCGGGCAGCCGAAGAAGCTTCAACAGCGTTAGTTCCTTGCTGTGATGTTGAAAGGTATTCCACAAGTGCAACCAGATTACCCAATCGTCTTTCTATCTCTGAGGATGCAGGTGCTGCAGGCGCAGGTGGTGCATATGCTGTAGGGACCAACTGGAGCAATTTAGACTCCAGTATGCGTTCAATATCACGGGTAGTAGCCAAATCTTGGGGCGTGCGAATGTGTCTGCGGAGTTCGCGAAGTTCTTGAACAATTTGCGGACCATAGATACCGAAGCCGTCAAGTGCTTGACTCTGATCATTGCGGCGAGACTCGGCGTCTGGGATCTTATTGGTCGTTGTTTTAGGGGCAATAACTTCGTCAATGCTCTTGACTGGCACCGACTCCCCGGGTCTCTCGGCAAACTTAAGACCTGCCAATTCTGCAGTACCTGGACTCTGGATGGCCACTGTCTTCAAATGGTGAGGGGCTGTCATTGCTGTATTAACCGGAGGGTCGTCCTCGCTGAGAAGATCTTGAGACTGAGCTTTCTGCTTGGTCTTCTCCTTCTGGCTAGCAGGAGAAACATTCTGCTTGTTGTCTTTGATTTGAGCGACCTTGGCGGCTATTGTTTTCTTAGCCTCGGGGAGGGGCATAGGGTTTTCAGACGGAGCCGTGCCCTTCTTTCGTGGCTGTTCGCCGGGAGGAACCTTCCATTGAATTTCATTCGCAGCGACTGCGACCACTGCTGGAAAAGGAGCCTGGGAACCAGTCGCCATGTCTTTCGCCTTTTTGGACTTGGCACTTTGTTGGACAAAAGCGGAGTGAGATGGTGGCGGGTTGGGCGCTTCCGCTGGAAAGGCTTTATTATGTGGCCGAGACGATTTGGGTGTATCAGGCTGGGCCTTGCGGGTTTTGAAAGATGCGGTCTTATCAAGAGGAACGGCACGAGGTGACGGCGAGGGTGTTTCCACTACGTAGGGCCCAATATGTGACTGAGAAATCTTGGCTGCAGTAGCCTGGGGCTTGGAGGGTTTGAATGATGCTGTCTTCTCAATAGGAACAACACGAGATGGCGTTGTTGATGTTGCTACTGGCGAGGATGGAGGCTTCGAAGGTGGAAGAATGCCCGTCGTCTTCTTCTTGGGTGTACCGCCCGGAAGCATCCTGGCCTTTAGCTCGTTAGGCGGAGTGGGTTCCTGCACAGATGCAGTCTTCTGGATTGGAGCAGAGGTGACTGTATCGATAGGCTTGTACGTTTCAGTTGCTCGGCGAGACTGAAATAAGGACATGAAGTCCCCAGGCTCAGAGATTCTAGTGGCGAAGTTGATGCTGGTCAAGGAGTTAGCATAGAAATTTCACCAATCGTAGTCTGATCACTTACGCTGGAGCTGGGCGCTGGGGTCTGCTAGGGGCAGTCGGGACTAGGGACATTATCAGCTGTATTCCTTTTCTGTGCCTGTCATCAAAACGTACAGTGAACATGCTCTTGGGCGCGACCTTTGCCCTTGCCTTTGCCTCGTCCACGTCCCCTTCCTCGGTCACGAGCATCGCTGTCATCGTTGTTGCAGTTTAGCGCAGGGTCCAAATGAATACTGGCCGACATTGTAGTCGAGCGAGCGCGCGGTCCTGGGCGTCCTGAGCGAGTAATATTTGCATGGAAGGAGCCTCTGCGATTTCTCTTCGGTTAATTGGCATGCCTTGAAGGTCGGAGTAAATCAATTCCTTACCTTGGAGGAGCAGGAGGAAGACTAGCAGGTCCGCTTGGAGGAGGGTGAACGAAGCCACCTCGTCCTCTCTTTCCCATGACACCACCACCGCGACCTACAGATGGAGCTGGGTAAGGATGATTGGCGTAGGTTCGCGGCTGACTTCCATTGGGATGCAACATGGCGTGCAAATTAGCTCGGTGGGACTGGCCGGAATCTATGTCATCGAGTTCTTCCATTCCATGAGTATCTCCGATCTCAGCATGTAAATCTGAGACAAAGATTAGTATAAAGTCAGAGGGCCCCAGGATCGTTTCTCGTTCAGTACTTACTTGCCCATTTGCTCAATTGAGCTTCATCTCTCTGATCGACAAGTCGCTTGGATTCAATCTCGGCAAGATGTGGGCGAGCCCGAGTCTTGGAGTCGGCGGTAGAAATCATTTCACGCCGAGCGGTTCCTAGGTCCGCCTGTTGGTGCAGTCAGTTACAAAAGTCAGAGAAGAAGTGAGAGACTACACATTACCATTTGAAGGATTTGCATCCTGCGGAGCTGCTCCGCCGATTCACTCATCTTGCCGGCGCCGATAATGGTAAGCAGATGGTATTAAACGCTGTTACGTGACACGTCGTTGTCGACGTGCCACCGGGTGGGACTGTGCTTTGGTTGGCCAAAGCACTAAGGGTGAGCGAGGAGTGAGTGGTAAGGGAGGTTAGAGCGTGGGAGGTGGTGTCTCCCAGAGAGAATGTATTTGCAGGTCGAAGTGACCCGAGAGACAAGAGCCCTTCGAACGAAAGACAGAGATGAAATGAGGCTTAAAAAAAGCCCCAAGCCAGGTCCCTAAGGGATATACGACAAGTGGGGATACTCTGAGGACTTAGCTGTAAAGCGAAAGAGACAGACACCAAGCAGAGTTGTGCGAAGCACCCGAAACAAGAATTGTGAGAACCACTGGAGGTTCCAAGCGAGAGAAGAAGAAGCGAGCAAAACAGGAGAAAGAGCTGGTTGTAGAAGGAAGAAAGAGAGAAGATTGGAAGAGGGAAGAGGGTAAATAAAGGAACCATCAGAGCCAGTTGGGATGAAAGACGCGACCTGTTTGTGAATGCGCAAATAATTGACGGTATGTCTCCTTTGGGTAGTGACGAGGCCGCATAGTGTGTTTCCGAGGCGACCTGTCCGTCGCACCTTCCGTCGAGGTCTTTTCGCCTTGGGGACTGGCATGTCCACGTTGGAGCTGTCTTGGGGCACCTGGACGCTTCCACGTGATAGTGAAGCCCTATAGATATACGTTAAGAGAGCCATTGATGGTAATCGGTGGTAATCGGGGAGTTTTGGGATGCAGATAGTGAATGTAGTTGTAGAAGACGAGAAACGAAGCCGACGGATTGCGATGCCGAAATCGCAAAGCGCACGTGCCTAGTCGCTGGCATGAGGAGATGTACTTCACCGTACTCGGTCTGACTTCAAAGTATATCTACATACTACCTGCTAACGTAGCATACAGTATCTACCCAAGTGCCTGTTACCTAGCTTGAGACATCGCAATTTACCCGTACATGAACAACGGCACATAGCAGTTTCTGAATGAGAGTATTGTAGCATATGATACACAGCAGCTATATGTTCAAAGTGAATACATATGTACACAGCACACGGCCCCAAGAGATTTCTCGGGCACACCAAGGGTATAAACCGTCGCCATATGTGGAAAGTCCTTGAAGAATATCTCTTAAGGGGCGCTGCAACTATGAGCCTCGCCGTCATCTGCGGAGACAAAATTCAATGTTAGTATCAGTGTCGAGTGTGGGACCAAATAGCCATTCGATTTGGTCCAATTGCAACCATTTTGCGGGACAGACTTACTTCGAATGATCTTGATGGCCGCTTGCACTACGCTGACACCCATCACAAGCACCCCAAAGCAAATGCATAGATACGCCGGGATCTTCTCTCGCCGCGTAGCACTGCTGAGTTTGATGTAACAAAGAGGAGGGAATATATAGGCTAGAGCAGCAGCACTGGTCGCGCCAATGAGCTCAAAAACACTCCCCAGATCACATGTTATCAAGGATAACACCATTGAACTCACCACCAGCGCCGTTGTGAAGATAACATGCCGAACGGCGTTGTGTGGTTCGTCGGGGAAGTAGTAGGTTGTCATGACGGAACGGCAGACGAACGCCTCAAGCGGCAGTGTGGTCAGCATGTTCAGGCCGAAGCAACTAGTCAAAATCAGTCAAGAAACTCTATATCAAGGTCAATGGGAGATTGTACAATCGTGCGATGTTGACGATGATATTGTCTGATGGAAAGTTGTTTAGAACGTTGCCCTGGGTTTTGGACCCGAATGATAGGAACCCTGCGATGCCCATTGCTAGGCACATCACCAGAGAGATTCCTGTCGAGTAATGTGTGACCCGGGTGAAACGGTCGAGTGTCGGCTTTTTCAATGAGCCGTAGATCAGAAGACTGTTGTGGTCTGTGGAAATTAGCGATTGTGATATCAGTAGGATTTAAAGGAACATACGACAAACAAATGCTGGAAATTGTTAGTGGGCTTTCCAATTATTGCCAGGAACAGCTAAGACTTACCAAAAGAAATGACCCCGACAGCTTGAAAAAAGCCAGTATTGAATATAAGATGGCTTTTGATCTCTCCACGCGATTCCTGCGGGACCCGAAAGCCCTGGGTGATGACCGTGACGACAATGACTATCATGCTGACCAATGCCAAGGCGGATGCTTTCGCCAGCTAGATGACCGTTAATTTCGGATAAGTAGTAAAGAAAGAAAGCTCTGACCTTGGCGATGTCTCTATACAAAGACAATGGGTACGAAACAACCAGAACAAAGATAACGATAACGGCCCGGCGGTCTGTGAGGAGCCACAGGAAGGACATATCCCTAAGAGACGGAAACAAAGCGCCTAGAACGTGTGGAATAGTATCGCCAACAATAATACAGAATGCGACCATGCCCCCGAATGCAAATGCCCACTGGGCAACCGAGATCGCGATGAGACCACTTTTCCCGAAGCAGTGCTGCATGGTCGCTTGGAATGAATCCGCCCCACTCAATTTGGAGTTGATCACAATCAATCGAATAGTCCAATCCACGGTGATGGTCAAGGCAGTCAGCAGCAAAATTCCAGTTGCCATGCCTGCCTGACGAAGCGCATAAGGTTGCCCGATGATTCCAGCACCAATAATGCTGTTGGCCATGTTCATGAACGCCATTTTCATCCCACTCCGCGGCCGTGCATCTTCGAGATGTTCTTCGGGGAAGAAATCGTCCGATGTCGCGAGTGTCACACTAGGCGCTTCAATATTCGTGAGAAGAGGAATTGATTGTCCACTATGGTGTGTTCTTGGGCCCTGGTTTCCAAGTTCATAGTCCTCATCTTCCAGCCATAGTGTGTCGTCTGGGCTGAGAGCACGCTCAATGGAAATGCGATTGGGATTTTCTGGCTCTTCCTCCAGGTCAAATCGAACTCGGTTCATGGTACGGGGCATACGGCGCTTTCCATCGGCCGCGGGTTGAGAGATTGAGGAGTGGCGTTGGCCATTGGTTGCGTTGCGTGAGGGGATCGGCGACGGAAGAGATTCCGGGTGGAAAGCTAAATCATGTTCTTCACTTGAAGCAGGCAGAAGTGATTGAGCTTCATGTTCATCCTGGCCATTCTGGGCATACAGGTGATCCTTTGACAACTCATCCCCTGGCATCGCTGACCGTGAATAGTTGAAAGTGTAACAGTTACTTTCAGGCCACCTGGATTGGGGCCACACGTGATAGCTTATCGATAAGGAGGTCTTTGACACGATAAGAGATAACAACCATGGATAGATCCATAGATGTATGCACGTCACAGGTACTCCACTACCCGTGGACATGTATGTGTACTTACTACTTCCGAATAGATATGGCTAAGGCAAATAATTAGAGGCGAATATAAAACGAATGGATGTCTATTCTTAGAAATTAAAATGCGCAGTCCATAGCATAAGTAGAGAACATGGATATGTAGTATCATGAATACATAGACAACCACAGTACATACAAACCAACAAAGGTTATCAACTAGATCATGTCTCACTGCTTTTGACATCTTTTGGGGGTCACTCCATGCAAAATGTACAAATTAAGCAATTTTCCATGTCTGCTACTTTAGCCCGGCTCGTTTGGGTGTGCATAGCGCCTTATGCGAACAAGGATCTTAGGAAAACATTTGGTGGAATATTTCCTAAAGATCCCTGTCTCCGACTCTTAGCCCAGCTCGTTTACGTACTAGGTGCATTAGCGCACTATGTGAACAGGAATTTTAACAAATCCTCCCATCGAATAATGGTTCAAAACCTCTGTCAGACACCGAGTCCCACAAATCAAATGTAACCAATTAATAGGTGAATGCCCAAAGTAACTTTTATTCTATTTTGAGGTTTCGCGATCAATTGTGGCAGCAAATAAACAGGAGATACGCGGCAGGGGGCCTTTTTGAAGGGTGACTGTGCAACCTTTGACTCTTACTTCATGAAGTGTTCCCTTCTTTGAAATTACAATGGTCGGTGTTCGCGAGCCACAAGCAGAGCTGAATGGACTACTTGGCCTACTCAGCCAGCTTGCTCTACACTTTGAAGTAAAGGAGACCAATTTTTCTAGCTGTGAGAATAGGTTAGGATAAGACTAAATTAGTGATAGATCTTGCTTATTATATATCTTAGAGGAAATCGATCAAAAATTCTAGCAATTTGAAAAGATATCACTAGTTATACATAGAAAAGTCGTCTGCATGGCTTATACTTTTTTTCGCCTCCCTTGTGGTCTGGTCTAGCTATGAAACTGAGAAGGGAGATTAGATGTCTAAAAAAGGTCTACAAAGACTATTCATCCAACACAACTCCGAGGATGCTGCGAACAGAGTTATCCAGCCCAATAACTGTTCCAATCCGGAATTCGGTCCATTCCATGGGGGCATACGGTTGATCCACACTACAATCTTTATCAGCCTGACCGGCGATGCTTGATATTTTGGATAGTGAGGAGTAGAAGAACGGTGCAATAGAACAGGTCTTCCAAATGCTGCGGTACGGCACCACAAGAGAAGATGGGAGTCAATGGTTCACATATGCCAATCTGAGATGTATTCCTGTTAAGCCGTGAGTAGAGCTCAGCAACAATCTCAATTTCAAGCAAGATCTATAACAAGAATCTAGTCTCAGCTGTGATTATGCCGGAAATATAAAGCCCCAAAGGGTATTAACAATAAAAGTAAACTGGCCTTTAAGAATGGTTGCACGATTCTTACATAGGTAGGTCGTAGGTCAAGAGTCTTGAAAGTCATGTGCCCTGTCCACGTACTGTAAGGCCATAGCCAGAACCAGTTCAACAATGTTTTTCCCGCTCCAACAACCCACCAATCCCCCAATCCCCCAATCGCTCGTTTAAATGACTGCCTTGGGCCTCAAAAAGAATAGTATAATGCCTTGGCGATGAGCTTCCTCCACAATGGCACAAAAGCTCGACTTGGGTCAATCCACTCTGCGAATCCGAGATTCAAGGTTGCAGCTTCGCCTGGCCGCATCAGCTCATTTCACAAAGCTACCAAGCCATGGAGCCCCCCAGATACCAATTGATCTCTCAGACTTTTCAAATGTTGAAAGTGTATGGATAACAGAGGCACCAGGGCTGGAGTTGCGCTTCTTCATTGGGGGAAATTGGGATCGCAATGAAGCAGCGGCATTCATCTCGAAATTGAGGGGCAAACTCTGTGATATGGAGGTGTGTGAGAAAGAATATTTTCCAAATTGGAAACTAACTATTCCTTGCTCCAGATCTGGTCGGACCTGGGATTCTCAGTTGAGCTCAAGACGGGTGCACGCGAATATTGCGTTGACACTTCTGGTATCCACTGCCTCCAACTTGGCCTGCGCAGAGAGTGCCGAATGCGGAATCACACGACAGGTCGGACTTTACCCAGTATGATGGCCAGTCCCCCAGACGCGTGTCCCCCGCCCGGTGTACCTGTAGCTACCTTGGCTTCAATTGATATTCGGCTGGAGTATTGCTTCCAAGCCAAGGATATGCCAGAAGCCCAGGACTGTTCCAAGTCGGAGGTTGGTCTGCTTGGACAAGAATCATCATTTTTCCCTGGCCCTCAAATGCTACAGTCAATGACAGGAGTCGCAATCCTACAGGAAGTGCACGAGGTTTCCTCTGAAGCTCTTGGATCGAAATTTTCTTGCATATCTGGAGATGAATCAGACCCATCATGTGAGGAACTCTTCCGACTCTTCGACATTGGAATCCAAAGACTGGTCATTTCCAACTCGATCAAAGATCCCACAATTTGGGTCTCACAACAGGCCACGATCAAGAGCCTCGCAGATATCTCTCCCGCCGTGTTTGATCCTGGATACCGCGATGTTAGTTCCCAGTCTCAGTCATGAAAAACCAAGCACTAATTTTACCCAGGCGATGGACCAGCGAGGAGTCACAATTCCAATAATCACAAAAGCCATATCGTCCATGTTGGCAGGAAACAAGGATCCATCCACCCAAGCTAAATTAGTAGGGTTGTTAGAGCTCACTCGCTCCCACCAAACGGATGAGTTGACGATACGGCCTCAACTTCCAAGTTGTGGGACTGCAGTCCTCTCATCACTTTGGCGTGTCGCCCAGAAAAATGTACCCAAGATAAAACCCATCAAAAGACGAGCGACGCTGTCGACAGAGTGTCTATTCACTGGACTGACTGGATCAAATGAGACGGTGCGTCGCATGTCCACGAACCAGCAACAATCCGACAACGGAAATCCGGCATTGGGTCGTTCTTTCCAAACACAATATCACAACGAGAATGAAGGAAGTGACGTATGTCTGCTGAACAGCGAATCAGAGGACCAACTTTTAGACAATTTTAGCGAAACAAGCTTCACAGACATCGGGGATTCGACTCAAACTTCCCTTGATACGTCGCTCTCAACAATTGGGTCTTCACAAACTTCTTTCGGTGACCATGACCCTATGCTTCTCTCGAATCATGGCGAATTGGTGGATTATCTGGGAAACTATATGATGGATTATGATGATATGGAGGCATACGATACGGACATTATAATGGCTGATTACCTTTAGGTTTTTCATATGATACCTTTGCTGTGATACATACTGGCCCAAAACTCTGGCCCTATCAAAAATGCAGATTTCGGCCTGGCTTTTCTCGCCAAATTTATATGACGAGATATTTTTTTAAAATATTTCTATTTTAAAGTTAAGCAGTAGGTCGACCATATATCTCTTTCCGAAAGATCATTGATGTCTGACTGTTGAATCGGACTTAATATAAATCGTGATAGGAATTCCAATCCAGATTTAACTATAAGCCGCCGTAGTAAATCCGCCGTACAGGGTATCCAGCAATTTACTATATGCCGAGAAACGTCGGACAGTTGGAAGGACAATCTGCGTACATTATGGCCCTGAGACCCTTCAGCTTGTCGGTATACAGACCCATTTTTGGAAACGCAGATCGGCAGATTCCTAGGACCACTTCCCCAATGCTCTAAGCCGTGTCCGAAATGCCTACCTGTGGGACAAATGATCGTCAAAACTTGTTATTGAGCGGTGGCAAGCTGGGACCACAAACTTACAGATGAAGTAGAAGGTCGGTAGAATGAGAAGTTCTGCAATTGCTGCACCGATATCCCGGTTGGTGAGCTAATTGCACGGCACTTGTTGGCCTTCGCGATGGAAGCGTACAGGAAAGTTTGGTTCGAATAATAGAACTCCTCGGCGTTACCATATTGGGTCTCGACTAATTTCCTGTATTGCAATGTCAGCTGAAGAGAGTATGTACGATGAGAGAACAGGGAATGCTACAGAATTGTATTGACTCCTTCCACTTTGGAAATCGAGAAGGAAGATAGAACAGACTTGATGGAATTCCTGACGCGACAATGGTATTCCTCGAGCTTATGCGACACCGCTCGGTGATCACGAGCTGGATTCAAACGGTATATAGATGCCTGTATCATTTCAGCAGATATATTGGAGAATTTGGAGTCAAGTATGGTGCCGATATTGGATCCTATACTCGCAGTGTCCTATACCCGTAGTGTTGTAGTTAGACGCTTCAGTCGTATTAGGAGCCATAAGAAGGTCAGGAAGAGGACTTTGCAGAGCTTCAAGCGTAAAGATCGAGCGTTGTAGTCCATCCATTATGGCGAGTTGATGCTAAAAAGGGCTTGGTTAAGGAAGAAGCACTCGAGCTAGCCCCAAGTAGTTACCAGCCCCTCAGTCAGGATGTCGTCCTTCAGGCGATTCAGCATAATATATAATTCCACTTTATGTCACGCTTATAGGTAGTATTGAATGTAGTAAATTTACGAAAATAGTGAGGGCAGAGAAGAAGGATCTTGATTCTCTGGAAACTGGGGTTGCTAGTTAGTTAACTAACTTAGCTACTTCCAACCTGAAAAGCAAGGCATCAAGACAAACAACGTCGTCGCTGCAGGGGGAAAGGACTCGCATGTGAACATTGGGGTCAAGGGTTTAGGCTTAAACCCTAAGCCACTGTAGTATCGATATTAGTACATATGTCACTCATACGGTGTGAAAGAGCTAATAGACGTAGACCTCATCTGGCATATGAACTTACCTTAGGTTCCATACTTGGCCAGTCATTCCAGGATCACGGGAATGTCCTGAATAAAGATAGATCCGGAAGATCCAGTTATTACCGGCTGATTCATCGGAACCTGCCTACGGAGTGCTATGTGGGAATTCGCATTCGGGCCGACAGGAATTGTGAACCACGAGGTGTTAAACCCGTAGTGGTC